CAAAGAACCACAGAAAATCACAGAGAACCACAAAGAACCACAGAGAACCACAGAGAATCACAGGGAACTACAGAGAACCACAGAGAACCACAGTACCTTGAGTTCCTCAGTTTTATAAAGACGGTTGATTGGAACTGGAACAACAACCTGACCTGCTGTTAAGGGCTGAATGTGTTTTATCAGCTGAATAACTGTTATATTACCGTATTTTTTGCCCTATAAGTCACAGTGTTTTGCATAATTTGCATGCCCTGCGACTTGTACGCCGAAGCGACTTATTTATGGGTTTTTTCTCATATTTATAAACCAATTTTGGGCTGAGATATGACCGTTTTCATTCATTCTGACTGAAAAAATTGAACATTATGATTTTTCAGCCACTAGATGGCAACAGAGTAGTGTAGCATGGCATTGTGTCATGTAACAGGTAAAAGTGGCTATTAATGACACAATCAACTTGCCATAAACTGCCATCTTTGTCCAGCTCGCCTGGAGCAACCATCCAGTCAGCTTCATTTTGCTGCACCGCCCCAGAGAAATGCAGCTAATTTGACCATTGAAGTGCATTTATTAAGTAAAATTTCAACTGAGACACACCTTTACTATAATGTCGAGCAAACAAATAATTTTTTAGGTGCTTATCTTGTTAAATTTCAAAGACATGAACAGCAGCTTGTCCATCTGCGCGTGCACGCTTACATGAACCGGCTTTTGAAATGCAGCTGATTTGAGCATCAAAGTGCATTTATTAAGCAAACGTTAGACTGAGACACACCTTTACTATAATTTTGAGCAAACAAATAATTGTTTTCAAGTGTTACTCCTGTTAAATTCTTGATCAAGTCCTCCCATGCGCACTCCCGCGGCCACCATTTGGCGCAAATCAATTTTTGGCACAACACCCCCCACATTCCTGGGTTGTCAGCGGTGACGCATAATAGATGCGACGTATACAACGAAACAGCATATTTATGGATTTTTCCACTTTATTAGACATATTTGGACTGATGCGACTCATAGGGCGGAAAATACAGTTAAAAAAAGCAACTTTATATGCAGAAAATACTCAAACATTAACATTAAAGAAAAATATTGATTGGAAGAATTCAAACCTATAAAAAAAAAGGTATGAAGCGTGCAAAATCTTGTTAGTTTGATGTAAAATTGACATTTAAGGCTTAAGTGAGTTCAAACAACAATAAAAATGTGAAGTAAACTGTCTGTTTATAGATTATTTATACAAAATAGTTGTGTAATAGACCATAATAGACCATATGAATCCTATCTAAGGATAGGATTCATATGTATATTTAAAATACAGGTCCTTCTCAAAAAATTAGCATATTGTGATAAAGGTAATTATTTTCCATAATGTAATGATAAAAATGAAACTTTCATATATTTCAGATTCATTGCACACCAACTGAAATATTTCAGGTCTTTAATTGTTTTAATACTGATGATTATGGCATACAGCTCATGAAAACCCAAAATGCCTGTCTCAAAAAATTAGCATATCATGAAAAGGTTCTCTAAACAAGCTATTAACCTAACCATCTGAATCAATGACGTAACTCTAAACACCTGCAAAAGATTCCTGAGGCTTTTAAAAACTCCCAGCCTTGTTCATTACTCAAAACCGCAATCATGGGTAAGACTGCCGACCTGACTGCTGTCCAGAAGGCCATCATTGACACCCTCAAGCAAGAGGGTAAGACCCAGAAATAAATTGCTGAACGAATAGGCTGCTCCCAGAGTGCTGTATCAAGGCACCTCAGTGGGAAGTCTGTGGGAAGGGAAAAGTGTGGAAGAAAACGCTGCACAACGAGAAGAGGTGACCGGACCCTGAGGAGGATTGTGGAGAAGGGCCGATTCCAGACCTTGGGGGACCTGCGGAAGCAGTGGACTGAGTCTGGAGTAGAAACATCCAGAGCCACCGTGCACAGGCGTGTGCAGGAAATGGGCTACAGGTGCCGCATTCCCCAGGTCAAGCCACTCTTGAACAAGAGACTCTGTCAGAAGCATCTCGCCTGGGACTGCTGCTGAGTGGTCCAAAGTTATGTTCTCTGATAACAGTAACTTTTGCATTTCCTTTGGAAATCAAGGTCCCAGAGTCTGGAGGAAGAGAGGAGACACGGAATTCACATTGCTTGAGGTCCAGTGTCAAGTTTCCCCAGTCACTGGGGTGTCATATCATCTGCTGGTGTTGGTCCACTGTGTTTTATCAAGGGCAGGGTCAATGCAGCTAGCTATCAGGAGATTTTGGAGCACTTCATGCTTCCATCTGCTGAAAAGCTTTATGGAGATGAAGATTTCATTTTTCAGCACGACCTGGCACCTGCTCACAGTGCCAAAACCACTGGTAAATGGTTTACTGACCATGGTATTACTGTGCTCAATTGGCCTGCCAACTCTCCTGACCTGAACCCCATAGAGAACCTGTGGGATATTGTGAAGAGAAAGTTGAGAGACGCAAGACCCAACACTCTGGATGAGCTTAAGGCCGCTATCGAAGCATCCTGGGCCTCCATAACACCTCAGCAGTGCCACAGGCTGATTGCCTCCATGCCACGCCGCATTGAAGCAGTCATTCATGCAAAAGGATTCCCGACCGAGTATTGAGTGCATAACTGAACATGATTATTTGAAGGTTGGTGTTTTTTGTATTAAAAACACTTGTCTTTCTTTGGTGGGATGAAATATGCTAATTTTTTGGGACAGGCATTTTGGGTTTTCATGAGCTGTATGCCATAATCATCAGTATTAAAACAATTAAAGACCTGAAATATTTCACTTAGTGTGCAATGAATCTGAAATATATGAAAGTTTCATTTTTATCATTACATTATGGAAAATACTGACCTTTATCACAATATGCTAATTTTTTTAGAAGGACCTGTGTGTGTGTGTGTGTGTGTGTGTGTGTGTGTGTGTTTTGTTGTCACAGAGAACTTTGTACTTTACCTTAAATATGAATTCAGGGTGTTTTGAAATAATGATGAATCATCCATCTCCTGTTTTATCCAAAAAGAACAAATACATCTCATGACTGACATCTGATCCATGTTTAATCTAAATATAAAAGGAGAACACAAGACAACAGCTCAGTTGTCGAAGAACACAGAGCACAATGACGTTCTGACTTCTATTTCTTTCTTATCGCATGAAGAAGAGCAATAAAGCTAGTTTGAACTTTTTGTCATACACACTTCCTCTGCAGGCTGTGTGAAGCATCCTGTGTGTCTGTTTATTATAATAAACACATTCAAAGACCATTTTTGAAGACATCTTTTATTTCACATGTTTCTGTGTTGAGACAATTTAGAGCAGGAAAATCCAGCCCAGTGTGTAAGAGTACACTCATGGTGTGATGGAGAATGCTGTTTATTCTGGCTTCTGATTCTTGTGTATACCTCTTTAGGTGAGCAGACGGATATTTGAAACATTGTTTGGTGGTCTCTAGAGCCTCAGGTATGGTGTGGACATGTTGAAGTAATTCATTCAACCTTTATTTATACAGACGATCACACTGAGCCTTGAAGACTCATTTACAAGTGAGACATGTTCTGTATTTTCTTGGTGACTCTTTATTCAATGCACCTTTCTGTTGTTCTGACAGCTGGCTGATTTCTCTCCATGTTGCACTGATCTTAGCTTCCAGCCTCCTTCTCCATGTTGGGCACTACTCCTTATTCATTGAAGGTTTGCTCTTATAGCCGAGCAAGCCAATAATCACTGTGGCTGTGATGTATGGTGGCTCTGTGATGGTGACAGTAGGGATGTTTAGCAATGCTGCATTCACATCTTCTTGCAGACTATCAGAAGGTACTTTGCCACTTGGCCTTGGCAAGGGGTGCAGGTTCTAGGTGCCTCGGTTGGTCACAGTCTTCATTCTCAAATCAGCTGACCATCAGATTCTCAAGGCTTTTCAGTGGGACTTGGTACCCAAACTCATAGTAGGGATGATGGTATGTCCCCGATTCCCTCAAGGAATGCTAGCTTTATTGTTGTTAGAGATCGTACTCAATATAAAAAGCTTAAGAAGCACTGGTTAAAGGAAATGATCAGATTGGTCAGTCAGGCATCACAGAAAAACATAAAATGGCAATATTAGCAATGACGTTTATCTAGCGCTGTCTCAAAATTTTAACAAGATAATGTGTTTCTAAAAGGAAAATGTGTATGAGTGAATACGAAACCTTGTGGAACTCCATGACTAATTATGGTGCATGAGGAAGTTTGTTATAAATATCAACAAATCTGTTAGATAAATATGACCTGAATAGGTTTAAGACTGTTCCTTAATTCTGAAATCATGTTCAAACTTAAAAAATGTTCATATTAAAAGTTGTATTAGATTGAACCGAGCCAGTTCATTTAAACAAACATATTCAAAGACCAAAAGACAAAAAACATGTTGAATGCACACACAAAATACATTTCTTTGTATCACTTTAAAAGAGTTGTTATTTGAAACATTGTGCACAATTAATAAAATCAATGTATCACTTTACTCTTGTTGGGTTGAAATCAATTTAAAAAATTGAAGGCAGCAGCTGATTAGAATATTTTTCTACCTCATGAAGGAGCAGCAGCAGAAACTGTCATTGAATGGTGTAAACAAACTTAAAGCAGCAAAGATGTTGTTACATAAGAAAACTCACCTGACTGAACAATCTGACCCAGTTAAATCCCAGCCCAAGATTCGATGAGACGAGGTACAGCTCAACATAACCTTCACAGTGATGACAGTGCACGAGAAAGCCTGAACTTTAAAAATAACTCCATGATCAGAATATACTAATATGGATTTCTGGTCAAATGGAAAACCAGAACAGTTGGAACTAAATCAGCAGATTGTATTGAAGTCTAATATAGTTCAAAAACACCTTGAGTTAGAGAACGATGGATGTGTGTGCACATTAGAGCTCAGAGACCAGCTCATGGTGTACACTGTTAGAGGCTTGTCGTCATGCCAACAGGC